TTGAAGTTCTTGTTGAAAGATTGAAATTTTGGGGGCGTGGCTGCGGTTTTGAACGGTGATGACCTAGGAGGATGAAAGAGCTTGTGGTCAATTTCGAGAATAAAACAACTTTTATCCCGAAATTGAGGGGCATGTGTTAACTTTGGATTTTGGTCAATTACGGAAGATGACAGGTGGACCCACATGCGGGAAGAAGAGTGTTGGCAAATAAGCAAGCGGTCGGCTAAATGCTTGTGCGGTCGGTTATTACGGAAGGCGGTAACTCCATTCGGGAAAGCGAAGATGGCAAGCAAAGCCGATCGAGAAGATGAAAGTTGTAATAATAAAGGACTACGAGAGTTTGGGGCAAGGAATCGTAGTTTCCAAGTTTATTTAAAGAGTTCCTTTGTAAATCGTAGTCTTTAGGACTCGTGTTTCGTCTAGGGTATAAATATTGACCCTCGACCATTGTAATAGGCGTTCACAACCAAATCAATACAACCGCCCCGTGCCAACTTTCGAGTCCTTTTGTCGTGTCGTCGAGTTCTTGAGAGGAGTCATCGATCCGTCGACCTCCGTAAGTTCCGACAACCTTGTTATCATGTTTAGTATCATGCGGTGGATTTAGGCGTGATGCAAGTAGTCTTGTTTGTTTTCAATGATCGTATGCGGCGGATCTTTGCTTGACAATCAAGAAGTCTTTGCTTATACTTTGTTTATGAGTAGATACCGTATGCGGCGTTTGCTCAATATGCTTAGTGGAAGCAAGGCAGTTATCGGCTCTATTAGATTACGGCAAAATCTAAATAGATTCATCAAGTTATCTGTGTTGCATGTTTTAAATATTTTATATATTTGTAACACACTTTTGCCCAATCTAGATTGATATTGTTCGGCCCTCTTCTATGGTTTTATTCGAGCTTCAATGATCATTACTTTCATAATACCTTTGCAAATAGATAACATGCTCGTAATGGCTGAATTATTTTAATCTAGATTGTCACATGTTGTGGGTTCATGTATGTTAATCACGTTTAAGTTTTTGACGAAACTAGGTGTCGTCGTGCGGCGAGCCTTGAGGTTTTAGATTGGCTTAATCGTGTTTATCTACGTTCCTTCTTCATGGACCCCAACTCGGCTGGATTGCTGAGCTTGGATATGCATTAACGCATAATCAATTTCACTTGTTCAAACATGTCTTCCCATGCATATGCATTCGGCAATCAGATCTTTACGTATGTCCATCCTACGATTAGCGAATGATTTATAAACTTGTTGGCGAGATGACTTCCTATAGCTGTATGTCGTTGTAAAGTGGCTTCGTGGGGCGTATATACGAAGCTATACGGTCTCACCCGACATGTTCCGGTTTGACATTTAACTGTTTTATCCCTTGTCAGTTTCTTTCAGGTCAAACTGACTGGCACGTTCCGGATCACGAAGCACCCGGGCACCCGATTGAAGCCACGCTTTTCGGCTTGCTGTGTGTGCGGCACAGTGCGTCACATTTTGTGTCAACACTATCACGATGGGGATTTTCTCACAAGCACTCGGAAAAAGCACGCAAGCCATACCTAGCGTGCTATTTTGGCGGGCAGAGATGTACTGACTCAGGGGCTTATCAAAAGAGTTGGCGATGGAACGTCTATTGATATCTGGCGCGATCGGTGGATACCAAATCACTTTGCTGCAAAACCTCTCACTCCTGGAGAGGCCCAACCGGTGATGATGGTGTCTGACATGATCTCGCCGAGCGGTCGATGGAGAGAAGATGTTATTCGACAACACTTTATCCCAGTGGATGCAAATGCGATCTTATGCATACCAATCCGGCCTCAATTTGAAGATATGTGGGCTTGGGAACCTGAGAAACATGGTGTCTATTCAGTTCGATCGGCTTACAGACTGCTTGATGCGGCAAGAATCAGAGAAGAGGAAGCAAGGGGGGCTGGGGGCTCCAGCGATGACGCTTGGAAGAAAATCTGGAAGCTGAAGGTTCCCCCGAAAGTCAGGGTGTTCTGGTGGCGAGTTTTTTAGATTTCGGAACAAAGTATTCCAGCCTTCACATTCACAAGTGAAGTTCTTCCAGCTCGTCAGATTCTCCACCGTAGACACCTGGAGCCGGTCGCAAATTGTGAAGTTTGCGGGGCAAATGCAGAGTCGATCAGACATGCCCTGATGGAGTGCACGGTGGCTCGGTGTTTTTGGGAACAAATCAAGAAACTCACAGGAACAAAGCTCCCGAACCTGCGTCATGAGACTTGGGCAAGGGACCTGCTGTGGGGGAATGTGTGTTCTGACGAAGACCCAGCGCTGATCATCATCGGCATGTATTCTCTGTGGCTGCAGCGCAATAGAAGAAAGCATGGTGAGCAAACCACCCCGATCTTGGTGGCGATGAAGTGGACAGTGGACACTGCCTTTGATCTTTGGCAGATTACTCGATCAGAAACACCACCAATGGGAAGAGGGGACAATCCGCGCTGGGCAAGACCACCGGAGGGGTGGGCAAAATGCAACGTTGATGGTGCCTTCTATGGAGAGAAGAGGACAGGGGCGACAGGAGCGCTGATTCGAAATGATCCTGGTAACTTTGTGAGAGGCCAGGCTCAATGGTATGATTATTATGGCCTTGAAGCGCTAGCTATGGAGGCGCTTGCTTGCCGCGATGGCTTGGTCCTAGCGCAGCAGACCGGTGTTCAGAAACTATGGCTAGAGACTGACTGTAAGGAGTTGGTGAATCTATGGAATGCCGGTGATAATCAGCGATCAACCGTAGCTGCGCTACTTGGGGAAATCCGGGAGTTGAGTATGGGTTTTCAAGATTTTAAATTCTCTTTCATTAGTAGAGATTGTAATAGAGTTGCCCATGTGCTAGCTAAGCAGGTCACAGGTGATGCACCGTCCGGGTGGTGGCACGAAGGCCCGGCGTGCATTGTTAACCTGATGATTGCAGATTGCAATCCCGGTTCGAATTGATGAATGAATGAATCCCCAAGTCGCAAAAAAAAAGGACTCTTTGTTCTTCCTTCAGCATGCATTCACATTGCTCAATTTAAGGGCTGATAATAGCGCTAGACTGCTAGTAGTTTTCTAGTCTGGCTCAAAAGATATATTAACCCGGTAACTCCCTCACAACTCGCAGGATTTCTATTCTTGACCTTTTGGCGATCATGGATGCAGCCAGTTACTAGATCGGTGTATCTTTGCTTTTTCTGACGATGATGCATGTGCTGATCCTCTTCGAATGACATTTGTGAGGAAGGTTTAGCGGACCAAGATAAAGATACCACCGAAATTCATGGTATTTCACCCGAAGGAAAAATGAAAACCATGATATTTTGGTGGCGTGTGCCGTGTGATGAAAGGCTACCTGCCGGCACGACGAGTACTACTTCATCCTCGTACCGAAGTGACCCTTGTGTCTGAACCTGTGACGTGGATGGATGTCCATACGTGCTTAAAACGTTGCTTTTGTGTGGCATGTGGACGCTCTGCAAAGCAACCACAAACCCGTCGATTCAAGGGCACAGATTTGGCGCTTGGCGGAATATGTCTGTCTGTCTGTCTGATATTCGAGCGCTCAGCAAGAGATTTTGGTTCAACTATTTTTTAGTTTCATGCGCTGACGTACACTGCTGCGCTTTTGTGCGCGAAGTTTGTTTACAGTGAGATCGTAATCCTGCGGTGTTTTGATAATGAAAGTCATCCGGCCTACGACTAATAGAAAGTGCTTTGGAACCATTTATTATCGTCAGCTTCACCGGAAATAAATATGCTTTTCACATGGTGTTCGATATCAATTTTTTTTCTCGAATACGCATGAGTATGCGTATCATTGTATTAAGTAGATAGAGTTTTCAAATTTACAAGAGTTTGCCGACGCCGGCCCTGCGAGAATTAAGCGCTACATTGTTGGGATACAACTGGATGTAATCATCTGTGCCCCTAGGCTTGCGCTATGGCTGCTAAACCTTTTGCCCCGGCCTCGATCCACCGGTCAGCTTCGGCCTTGATGATCTGAAGCAGCTCGTTCATGGAAGATGGTGCTTGTCTGAAGCAACGGGCGTTGCGCTCTTTCCAAACCTACCAGGAGACAAAGGGCGAACAGGCTGTCCAACGATATCAATTTGTCTTGGATAAAATGTCACTTCCAGCGTGTGATGTGCGTATCTATTTCTCACAAGCAGACACGTGACAACAAGACAATCAGCTCATTGCCGATATTGGCAATCGCCCCAAACATACTACCCACGACGCGTACTCATTCCTGTTCACATGGGCGCTACTACTCCCAGCTTTTGGCATTGGCGGGACTGCTGCAAGCCTGCAACCTGTGCATTATGGTCTGTGCAGCACTGTAGCTGGCTAGCTGCACGAAGCTACGTGCTGTGTAATGGGGAAAACGCAGAAGTTGCCGAGCTACACCTGGGGAAAAACGCAGAAGTTGCCGAGCTATACCTGTTCGTATCGCTGAAAAACGAGGCTAAAAAAAGTAACGTTCGTAGAGAAAAATAATGTAGTATGATCGATAAGTTTGAGCGAATCAGACCTATCTGAGTTGGTTTCGTACGTGGACTCCTAGTTTAGGTGGAGCATTTCCAGTATATTGGAAAACCCTCTCCTGATGGCATAGTACAATCTTGTGATTATTGATGCGAAACGAACACGTTGAGCTTGCTTCGTGCCTTCGTCCCAGGTTTAACCACACAATAAGCTCTGCTAATTAAAACGACCACAGATGTGCTGTTAGTTAGGATCATGCCGGCCACTATGTATTTCGAAATTTCGGTTGTGAATGTCAAAATCCCGTATTAGTAATCCATTAATCAGCAATTGCATGCAGACAAAAAAAATACAATCGCTAATACTTAGTAGTAGTAATAATAAGCTTCAACAAACAACCGGATAATATAAACTACTCCTAAATTCACACGTACGTACATGCTAAACGAAACTGCGAAGTGCGGTGCCCTCAGTTCGTTACTGTTCGTTAGTGCCCCGGCCGGCCCTCTGCTCTCCTACAGCAGCCAGGCGGCGGCGCCCAGAACCGACGCGGCGACGCCCACCTTCCAGAAGCCATCGGCGCGGCCACTGGACGCCGACTTGGGGCCCCGGCCACTCCCGTACCCGTACCCGTACCCGGCGCCTCCAAAGCCTCTTGAACCTCCACCTTCTCCGCCGCCTTCTCCTCCGCCATGACCACCGCCTCCTCCGCCACCATGGCCGCCGCCGCCTCCACCGAGCTTGTCGACGACGACGACATGCTCGACCGGCCGCACGGCGTCGTCGATGCCTGTGGGGGCCTGTGCCTGTCGCCCGTCGGCCGCCGAGGCTTCCTGGACCTCAAGGGCCTTGGGAACTCGGGCCGCGTCGGCGGAGCTGAAGACGATCGCCGCGAGCGCGAGGGCAACGAGGAGGAGCACGCTGGCAAGGCGCTGCGGGAGAGCCATGCCGTGCGCACGTGGACGCGGTGTTGCGACGTACGTACGAACGCGGCCGGAAGAGAGATTTTTGAGAGCTGTGTTGGCGCCCATCGTCTGGGATGCAAGCTGGGATGCCTCAGTATTTGTAGCGGAGCAACGCCTGGAGCCGACGCCGCGACGCGTGTGGCCGAATCGTGTTAGAAGTCCAGGCACAGCACTCTTTTTGACAAACAAAAGAAAATTCCATACTTATTTTACCCCAAGGGAGATCCCTTTACCCCAAATTAGCACATACTTCCCCCGCTGATCCACCATATCCATTCAGGTTTGTTCTAACTAATAAGTGTTTTACATTCGCTATGCGAAAGAACTATCATCAATGGAGGGCAGAAGTGTATTACTCCGATCCTACACCTCGTCCCGGCTCACATGCTCGGCTACACGTGAGTACGTGACACGTCGTGTATGCTTCGGAAGTTTGGAGTTTGGACTGACGCGCTTGGCTGATAGGTTATGCCTGAATGCTCTGTTCGTTTGGTATGATAAGCCATGGCTAAAAGTGTTGCTGACTGATTTGTTGTGAGAAAAAAATATTGTTTATTGGCCGAAAAAGTATGACTTAGAAATTACTATTAACTGATTTGTTAAGAGAGAAAAATATTATTTGTTGATTAAATAAGTACGGTTTATAAGTAAGTAAACAGGACGGATGATGGGACGGGGCGCAGGAGGTGGGCACTCGGCACTCAGCAAGGCAGGAACCTGGAAATTGCTGCGCACCGGCGTGCTGATGCAGCGCTGCTGCTTTCGGTGGATCAGGTAGGGTCGCAGTCGCAGCTGCGCGTTTGGGTTTGCCGCTTGCCGGCCGGCTGGTCTAGCGAGACCGCTTAGCCGTGTGCTGCGTGTTCACATCGAAACTTGAAATGTCAACGGGAAATTCCTGGTTGCTGCCCCCGTCCCCGTCCTCGTCCTCGTAGGGGTAAATTTCCCCGTTCCCGTCTCCGTAAAGGCTCATGGGGAGCACTTCTTTCCCATTCCCGTCCCCGCTCGAGGATTTAATCCCCGCGGGGATCCCCATCCCCGCATCAACACGTGAAGCACGCTCGCCGCCGCCGAAGATATTTCTGCCGACAGCTCGCTGCTGACTTCCTGTGCCGAGGTTGCCATGGCCGACGACCTACCGTGCCGCTTCCCAGCTGTCGATCTCATCCATCCCGTCGACAGCTCACCTCCGCTCCACTGGCCGTCGCGAGGACGTGAACTGGCACGTCGGAGATATTTCCCTCGCCACCGCCTTGCCGTGCGACGATAAAAGGCTGGTCGTGGACGCCATCGACGAGCACCTCACCAAGCACGCCATAGTTCCGCCTCGGCTGCCGCGCTCGCCTCTGCCGCCGAAGCCGCCCTCGCCGACGAGCTCACCTCTGCTTGCCGGAGCCGAGGCTGCCGTCGTCGCCCGTGCTCTCCCTCTGCTCCGCCCTCTCCTCTCCTCCTCTGCTCCACCTCCACAGAGCGCCGCCAAGCTCCCTCCCTCCCTCTCTCTCTCTCTCTCTGCTTCCCATTCTCCCTCTCTACTCCGCGCTCACCGCCGCCCACTGCTCTGCTCCTCCCCATGGACGTAGGTCGCAAGGCCGCCGCTCGGCCGACCGAGCCGAGGCCGCTGCCGACGGCGCCCCGCGTCTTGCTCTCCACCTCGCCCCGCGCACCTGCTCTGCCCTCTTCCCCTCCTCCGCTCTCTCTCTCTCTCCTCCACCCTCTTCTTCCTTGCCTGGGTCGCCGCAGAAGCCGGCGCCCTACGCCCTCCACTCCCTCCGTCTCTCATCTCTCCGTCGGTGTTTGCTCTGTTTCCTCCCCCTCTGTTTTCTCAATCGCTCTATCTCTCTTCCTTTCTTGGGCCTTCTCAGATGGGCCTTATATGGAGGGGATTGGGAATTTGGGAACGAATGGAAATGATAAGGTTAGGGTTACAAATTGCCTTATATATGTACACAGAAATTGGGCCTTAAACATTTCGGGTCCCCACGGGGAACGGGGACGGGGGCATGTATACCATCCCCGCCCCCGTCATACCCAATGGGGATGATTTTTTCCCATTTAATTTCCCATGGGAGAAGATTTGTACTATCTCCGTCCCCTAATGGGTGAAATCCCCGCGGGGAATTGGGGAACCCAAGTGGTGATACTGAACTACTGGTGGACCCAGAGCGAGTCGATGATCCGTACGAAAATCTCGTATCTCATCTATAAAACGTTGCTTTGTGTGGCGTGTGGACGCTCTGCATGGCAACCACAAACCTGTCGATTCAAGGGCGGGCACATATATTTGGCAGAATATATCTGATATTCTAGAGCTTAGCATGACATATTTTGGTTCTTCTGAATTTATTAGTTTCATGCATTGATGTACATTGCTACTCTGTTGCGCTTTTGTGCGGTGTTTAGGGCATGTTTAGATACACATGGATATATACGCACTAGCCTAATTAAATTAGTTACTGTTGGCTAGTTAGTTGGCTAACAACTAGTTTAAGGTTTAGGTAAAAAATTAGTTCACCTATTAGTTCTCTTATTTAGATGTACTAAAGTTAATTTAAGCTAAGATTAGCTAGCTAACAATTAACTCATGGTATTCAAACATGCCCTTAACAATAATCAAAGCAATACGGTCTAAAGAAAGTGCTTGAAACAATTTATCGTCAGCTTCACCGTGGATAAATAGATTGCTTTTTCACATGGTGTTCGATATGTACTATTTGACAAGGTAAAATGTCACTTCCAACGTTTGATGTTGCGTATCTATTTCTGAGAACCGGCCATACACGTGACAAAAAGACCTAAACTCAGGCCGTTGCCAAACCTGTACCCACGAGGCCACGACGCGTACTCGTGCCTGTTCACATGGCGATGCAGAGTGCCAGAGTTGCAGGCACCGAAAATGGGGGGGCTACGGGAGTTGGCTACCAGCTCTGTGCGACTGTGCGCCCCCGCCAGACTACCTCAAATGCTACTAGTAGTGATAAGGCAAACGCGGCAGCCTCCGGTGCCAATGACAGCAACAAAGAAGAGACATCTGGTTTGGCTTATAAGTCATACTTTTTAATTAATAAATAATATTTTTCTCTTACAATAAATCAACTAACAGTATTTTTAGTCATAGCTTATCAGCCAAGCGCTCAAGCAAACAGGACAATTGTTGGACGTGTAGGCCGCCGCGGAATTATGGTGGGGCCGGGGGCGAGGTTTCGTGCAGCAAAATTTGTCCTCGTCTCGTCGTGTAGGAAAACCAGCACATTTCCTCTTGTTTCCAATTAGTAGAGATCAAAGCTGATGAGCTAGCGCCACGATCCAAATGGCAGACACCCTTTGGAGACATATATATACTAATGTCCATGGTGATTTGGGATGATGATTGCGAAGAGAGCAGGTCAGATTATGAACCCATAGTACATACGAGTAGTTGCATGCTAGTACAGTACTACGTAGCCATGCCAGTGAACATTTACCCACGGAAGCGTAAGCTGATCTGAACTTTGAGGTTCTGGACTCCGCAACCGCAAGTGCAGGCTACAGCAGTGAAGTTGCCACACCTACACGGGAGCTTTTATTCGCGTGACCATGATGACTCATGGCCTCATGGCGCGGGTGATCGCAGTTCACAAACTCGGATCACAGCTACTCACCCACCACTTGTGCGTAGATAAGTAGATTCCAGAACCGCGTGCTACGTAGAGTACTCACACATGCATCCACCGCTCTAACTAATAGTACTACTCACCCGGCAATTTATATACTCAAGTATTACTGCTGCTGCTTAAGCTAACTCACCCGGCTAGGGCGGCTAACTTTGGATTATTATTACGCCTCCACACCGTGACTGCGTGCGTGTGATCAACACGAAGGTCCGAACCTCGTCAGATGATGACCGCCGCCGCGGCGAGGGCGGCACCCGCGGCGCTGCCGCCCCCGTCGACGTTCGACGCTCCTGCAGCGTTGGCGGTCCTCGCGCCGCCGCCGGGCCCGGAGCCGGAGCCGCCGCCTTCTTCCGCTCCGCCTCCGCCGCCTGCCCTCCCACCGCCGCCGCCTCCACCACCGCTTCCGAAGCCTCCACCCCTAGCACCGCCGCCTCCTCCACCGGCGAGGCAGGAAGCGCCCTGGAAGTGCACGGCCGCGCAGAGCAGCAGCGCCAGCGCCAGAGCGCGTAGCGCCCTCGTCCCGCGTCTCATGGCCTCCCGCTCTCCTTCGCCTCCTCGGTGCGGTGCAGTGCGGTGGCTGTGCTGCGTGCTGCTTGGAGTTGGAGCAAGTGGCGAGAGGGAGAGGACGGGATGCAGCGCTCGGGGCTCGCCTCGTGTAGTCGTGTGCTAGGCTGCCACTGCAATATTATGGTTCTTTGTAGTAGTAGCTGGCTAGCTGCACGAAGCACGAATGCACGATCATGTGCCGCCTGCATGTCACGCTGATATTTTTCGTAGGACGCCACGCCGTCTGCTACTCTCCCTCGCAGAAATTGCCTCGGCTGTAAATTTGGCTGGTTTCGTGAACTACTAGTTTGTTCTAGGCGGAGCAGATTGATCAATTCCAGTATATTAATTGGGAAGGCCTCTCCTGATGGAATAGTTAGAGTTATGTGATTGTTATTGATCCAACTAACACGCTGCTCCCTTGTTTCGTCCCATGGTTAACCACGCAACAAGCTCTGCTAATTACAGTAAAATGCAACAGATTGGGCTACTAGTTAGGATCATGCCCCGTAGTTCTATGTATTTCAAATTTGGATTCGATTTCGATCCAAGCCGATCCAAACACGAGATCTTACGACCATGCTCTTGTTTCCATGCCTGCCTCATGTGAATGTCAAAGTCCCGTATTAGTAATTCAATTAATCATCAGCAATTGCACGCAGACAAAAATACAATCGCTATCCGCTAGTGCTAGTAGTAATAAGCTTCGACAACCAACCACCGGATGACTAAACTACCCCTAAAATTCACACGTACGTGCATGCATGCTAAACGTAACCACGATGCACTGGCAACACAACAAGTGCGATGCCACTAGTTACTGCCCCGGCCGGCTCTCAGCTCGATCTCCTACAGCAGCCAGGCGGCGGCGCCCAGAACCGAGGCCGCGACGCCCACCTTCCAGGCGCCATCGTGGCCACTGGAGGCCGACTTGTGGCCGTGACCGTGGTACCCAGCGCCTCCAAAGCCCCAGCCTCTTGTGCCGCCGACGGAACCTTCTCCGCCTCCTCCGCCATGACCACCGCCTCCTCCACCGCCTCCGCCGCCGCCTCCACCGACCGGCATGGCATCGTCGCTGCCTGTGGGGGGCTGTGCCTGTCGCCCGTCAGCCGCCGCGGCTTCCTGGGCCTCAACAAGGGCCGCGGGGGCTCGGGCCGCGTCGGTGGAGCTGAAGACGATCGCCGCGAGCGCGAGGGCAACGAGCAGGAGCACGCTGGAGAGGCGCGGCGGGAGAGCCATGCCGTCGTGCGCACGTGGACGCGGTGTTGTTGCGACGTGAACGCGGCCTGGCGAGAGATTGTTGAGAGCCTCAGTATTTGTAGCAGAGGAGCAACGCCTGGAGGCTGAAGCCAGCGCAGCGCGTGTGGCCGAATCCTGCTCGAAGTGACGAAGTCTAGCACTTCTTTTGTCGAACAAAAGAAAATTCCCCACAAGCGAGAGTCCTTATCCGGTTATCCGCAAGAAAATTCCATACTTATTATTTTACCACAATGGAGATCCCTTTACCCCAAAGGAGCTTTACCTAGACATTTTTTGTTCTCCTTTTTCCTTTTTTCCTATAGGGACCCAAATAGACTCGGTGCTAAATTTTGAACGCATGGAATTCCCCCCGGCTATCGTGAGCATTGGATAACCGTTGTCGAGTTCACTAGACGAAACAAAGATAATTTTCGCTAAAAATCAGGCTAAATTCCATCAGTGCAACTGTGAAGTTTGCATTATTTTAAGCACATGTTTTGTTGGACGTTTGTTATCAAACTTTGCCCGCCAAACATTAGGTAGGCTACAGTTCTAATTACGTAACAACATAATGTGAGCCATGTCAAATCATCATTGGAATGGTTTGACTTGCCCTTAGGTTGCTTGTATGCTCCCTCTGTCCCGTAAATACGGTCGTTTGGGATGAAAGCTCTTGTACCAACGAGAGTGGTGAAATACCTGCGTACTCCTGCTAGTAGTACAAGCAACACAGAAAAAGCTGCATTAAAATGTCCGGTGTATGAGAGGAGGGAAGGAATAAAGCTGCGATGTTGGATGACTGGACATGCACAGCTGCCGGTACGGTGCCTACCTGTAGGTCTGGTAACATAGGTAAGCGATATTTTTTATGGGATAAAATTTGAATCCTAGAATGACTCTTTTTATGGGACGGGGAAGTATGTTCATTATATAGTATGATTCATACATTTCTAGTAAAATTCAATACATGTCTGAGTAGGACTCTAAATCAATCTAAATCTATTATATATCTAAGATTCTATCTCTATTCTTAATTGTCCTAATCTATTCTTCTAACAAGTCAAGCTTCCTATACTATTGGTCTGTTTGGTTGTCGACCAAAACTTGCCACGCCTAACATTCGGCAAAGTGTGGTTGCTACAGAAAGTGTGGCGAACAAAATCGAAGCCACACTTGTGGCCAGGTTTGGCATGAAAATGAGTCTATGACATGTGGGACAGTGTGCTAAGAAAGTTTGGCGTGTCATAGCTGTGGCATTGAACCAAACAGCTGCCGAAAAAATTATGGCATGACTGACCTTTCGCATGGCAAGTTTTGGTCTCCAACCAAACACTCTGACAATGGCCCAAGAAAACGTGAAAAAAAGTTCATCACAACTATGCAGTGCACATCAGCAATAGAAGATACAAATCAATATAATTGTAGCACATACTTCCTCCGCTGATCCACCATATCCATTCAAGTTTTTGTTCAAACTAATAAGTGTTTTACATTCGCTAAGTAAACTATCCTGAACGGAGGGCAGAAGTGTATTGCTTTCACTATTGAAATCCACACAACACCGAGGTACCTTTCCATTGTTTTTGTTCTGTTACGGATGCATGAGGATTTGTCCACGAGTACACACACAAAAAAATTCTTAATTTCGTGAGCTACCCGCGTAACCCATAAAAATTAAGTCTATTTACAGTTGCATCCATCCATCCATACTTCTTGAGTTTGCACTCATTGATCACAGAGCTTTTCATCCTATACATGATGTGAGCCAACACTCTATATTTTTTTTCGAATACACAAAAAAATAACGTATCATTGCAGCCAAGACCCTATACATGATTTCACAGCGGCACCAGAAACGTGAAAGCTTCATCACGGCTGTGCAGCGCAAATGAGCAAGAGTTAAAACTTTTTTTAGAGTTATCTTTTTTTGAAACAGTCGAGAGGAGCTCTGCCGAACTTGTGTTGATATAGAAGGGAACAAGCACTGTACAAAACAATCACACAATAGAACAAAATGCACAGAAACTAAGCTATCCTCAAGCAAGGGAGGTAGGAACAAGCTCTGCCGAACTTTTTTTAGGGCATGTTTGGAATGGAGGGATGCAAAACACAGGAACGAGAGAAAACACAGGAATGGGAAAGGAATATAGGTGTAAAACAGATGATTGAAAAACACAGGAATTTTATAGAAACAAGTGTTTGGAACACATGAATACTAATAGCATGAAAGTTTATTGATTTGTGCTAAACACAGTTGTTGAGATTAAATAGGAGCTAATTACTCCTTTACAAAGCGACATATAGCAGTTAAAAAAAATTGAAGTGTCTTGGACCAGCCCACATGGTTGTGCATGCAGGTAGGGACTATGAAGTGGCACACACTGTGCATGCATGCAGGAGGGAGTATGCAGATTAGTGCGTGTGAGAGTACATGAGCCGTAGGAAATATTCCCATGAGGTCAGACCTCATGTTTTCTTTTCTCCAAAACTACAGGTTTCATTACCTTTCCTCTGGAACGGTTTGGGTGTCTTCCTTTATTCCAAACACTGCTACAGTGAAAATTCCTATAGGAACTTGATTCTTTTGATCTTTCTATGTTTTTCCTATGAACCAAACAGGACCTTAGAGTTATCAATAGTATTAAAACTTAATATGATTTTAGCGCATACTTCCACCGATGATCCACCATGTGTCCATGCCCATTTAGGTTTGTTCTAAATGACTGGTTTACCTTTGCAGTATCAAGCAAGTATAAGAACTATCATTAACAGAGGAAGTAAAAATTGTGTTACTGGACCTATTTAAATTCGTCTGTTCTCTTTTGTAAATTTCCGGTTCTTTCCATTATGTTTCGCTGCTGTCTCTTCGGTTTGTATATAATAACCGGCACCTGGCTCTGGTGCAGTATGTTTTTAACAATCCACACAATTTTACTCGTAACAAATGTGAGGTATTATACAGTTTCGAAATACTGATACCTTTTTCATCGATGTAACGATGTCTTTCATGTGATTCACTTATTGATTACACAACTGTTTTTCATTTTCTGTGGACCTATTTGATGTCTGGCCCTGCCCAGCATGCTTACCCGGCCTAGCCCTGGCCAGCTCGGGCGGCGCGGCTCCTATGGTGCAATCTCTTGTGTTTGATTCACTCTGTCCAGACAAGCACGGTTCAACTGAGATGGTGTTTGATTTTTGGCCCAAATGGCTATGGTTACTCAACACAGAAATCCGGTAGACTTACCACCAGACTTTCACCATTCTCTCTTCATTCACGTTTCATCGAGCACCTGAGGGGCGAGCCAAGTGTCACCTGGACGCATCACGCCGTGGTAGAAGGCGATGCCGTGGTTGAGCGGGGGCGCTTGACGAGAATCTCCGAGTCGTCGAGGAGCCCCTAGGAGGAGTCGAAGGCGATGTCGTGGTTGGGCGAGGTCGCCCACGCCGCCGCCGCGGCCGCGCGCGGAAGCTGACCGACGGCAGAGCGCCGCCGGCGCCGAGCGGCTTGGCGTGGTCGTCGAGCAGCGACGCGGCAGCTCCTATCCTCACCGGAGCTCCATGCCGGCATGGCCGAGCCGCTCGCCGTCACCGCCTCGATCTCCCTACTCACTACCTTCCCACGCGGCGGTGGCGGCCCCTGTCCTCGCCGGAGCTCCAAGCCGCCATGGCCGAGCCGCTCGCCGTCACCACCTTGATCTCCCTCCTCACTGCCTTTCCCGCTCGGCGGTGGCGGCCCCTATCCTCGCTGGAGGTCCAAGCCACCATGGCCGAGCTGCTCGCCGTCACCACATGATGTCCCTCCTCACAACCTTCCTGCGCGGCGGCGGCCCTTGTCTCGCTGGAGCTCCAAGCTACCATGGCCGAGCTGCTCAGCATCACCACCTCGATCTCCCTCCTCACTGCCTTCCCGTGCGGCCGCGGCAGCCCCTGTCCTCGCTAGAGCTCCAAGCTGCCATGGCCGAGCCGCTCGGCGTCACCACCTCGATCTCCCTCCTCACTGCCTTCCCGCGCGGTAGCGGCAGCCCCTGTCCTCGCTGGAGCTTCAAGCCGCCATAGCCGAGCTGCTCGCCGCCACCACCTTGATCTCCCTCCTCACTGCCTTCCCGCGCGGCAGCGGCGGCACGATGAGTCGGATTCACGGAGAAGAAGGGCGGGGCCGGTGGGTGAGAGACGAAGGAGCAGGCGGTGACTCCATCTCACCCACAAGCGCCCACGCACGCTGCAGCCAACCGGGCCGAGTAGAAACGGAACAAAGGGGCATTTCCCTGGGTGCAGGAGAGAGAGGACGATTTGCACGCACCGAGTCAGGCCGTATGTTGGGCCAAATGAATCAAACAAGGTCGGTTGCAGCTGGAGTGCGCAGGGCCACCCCAAGGCTCCATATCAAACATGCCACTTCGAACTAGTTATTAAATTAATAAAACAAAAATAATTCCCAGAAGGCGGCGGCTCACAAGTACTGAGGTACCCGATCGAGGTCACATGTTGCTATAGATGGCCAACGGGCCGGGTCGGCCCGGCACGGCACGCCGTGCCTCACAGGGCCACGGGCCTGGCCTTCGGCCCAAGCACGGCCCTATGGGCCGATTTCCATGCCGGGCCGGGCCGCGAAGCACGACCAGAATCACGGGTCGTGCCAGCCCACGGCCTGTTACCCTTTGCATTCATAAATAGATAACAGTTTCACATTCACAGTCACAGATCACAGAATCAAAGTTTCATAATTCATACATTCACAGATCACATCATCACAGTTTCTTACATTCATAGAATCAAAGTCCAAAACTCCAAATGTCCGATACATTCACAGTTCATACATTCACAGAATCGAAGTCCAAATGTCCGATACATTCACAGATCACAGTTTCGTACATTCACAGAATCAAACTCCAAATGTCCGATAGACTGATACATTCACAGTCCAGCAAAGATATCAAACTCCAAACTCTAAAGCCGACAGACAACAGAAATAACCAAAATGAGCTGTTTAGTGCAATGTTGCTTCATTAAAAACCTTTCTAGGTAAAACTCACCCTTGTGAGAAACCCTAGAAAGGAAAAAAGAGTGCAGCCAGCTCTTAATTAACCATTGTTCAAATGATAGACAAGTCTTTCACAGTCACACACACCCTTTCACAGTCACAGATCACACACACACACACTCAGGAGTCAAGTCTCAACCTCAGTATCTCACTAAGTACCAGGAACACCACCAGCAGGTCCATCTTTATCAAGGTACAAGTTCTGGAATGAGTCTTCAAGCTCTTGGTTGTCAACAACATGTTGTTCTCTTTTTTCTCCTAACTCTCAGTCCTTTAAGCAGGTCAGCATCTCCACAGTATCTGGTGACAAGCGCCGCCGCCGTTCCTCAATTATCCTACCTGTCAAACTGAAACAAGACTCTAAAGAGACAGTAGATACAGAAACTGATATGATATCTCTAGCCATTAAAGACAGGATTGGAAAGGTTAGCTTGTGGTCACGCCACCGTAGAAGTAGGTCAAAATCATCCTCATAAGAAGTGACATTGTCACTGTCTAAGTAAGCTGATAGCTCACAAACAGCAGAAGTAGATGAAGATGAAGTGGCAAGGAGAGGGGAAGGACCAACAACACCTGATCCATGGCCAAAGATTCTTCTCTATGCCTACTTTTTCTTACCTGTATGATGTGATGGTTGTGCAACCTTTTGAGACCTAGCTGCACCAAACTTGCTCTCATATTTGTTAAACAGTTTATACAATTCAGTTTTGACATCAGCATAGTATGAACTGTACTCAGAACTAGTGTATTCATCAAGTAATTGTAGCACATTAAAGAAACCTCTCATCTTAGCTCTAGGATCAAGAATGAATACATATGAATATAACAGAGGTATGTCCTGCCAATATTTAAGGAACTTAAGCTTCATAGGATATACAATAGCTCTCAGATTATGATCTTTTTCACATGCATGCAAATGAGAATCAATCTCTAGGATATGGTGCAGAACAAGTGGACTTGTAGAATAATAAACACCAGACAGTACAACAGTGGAGTCATAGAAGAGTTCCAGGAACTCCAATAACTTCCCAGCAAAACACCAATGATTTGTAGTCAACAATTGTGAACCATAATGGGAATTAATGAACATAGAAAAGACATTCTTGTATGGAACCAAGTGTTTAAGCATCAGGTAAGTAGAATTCCATCTAACATCCATATCCAAGCCAAACTTTCTAGGTCTAACACCCTTAGCATTACAGTATTCCTTGAACAATGCAATTCTTTGATTAGAGGAATTTAAGAAGTTAATTGCAGTTCTAAAATCTTGTGTAATGTTTCAACCTCTTCAAGCCAGATTTTACAATGAGATTAATGATATGACAAGCACAACGTTGATGTACAAGACTGTACTTACGGTTACTAGGATCCAAAGGATTAGGACCCAAGTAACAAGCAAATAGAGGTGTCAAAGTGTTCATAGCCCTAACATTAGAAGAAGCATTGTCTAGAGTGACAGAGAAAATCTTGTCAATCAGACAATACTTCTTAACCACAGCAGCAATTCTTTCAGCAATGTTTTCACCAGAATGTTTAATCTCAATCAGCCTAAGACCAATAACCTTTTTCTGTAACTCCCAATCAGCATTCACATAGTGAGCAACAACACTAATATAGTCCTTCTTAGCATTACCAGACCAAATGTCTGAAGTCAAAGCAACAGAAGAAGCAGCAGGCAACACAAAATTCTTAAGCTTATCATGGCTTTCAGTAAACAGCTTACCAAGATCTCTAGTGGTGGTCTGTCTAAAAACCTTGGCAAACATAGGGTTATGAGCAAGAACAATGTAATCCTCCTATGCCTGTGACTCACCTATACCTAATGGAAGGTCAAACCTAGCAATCAACCTACACAACTCAGAGCGAGCAACAACAGGATTGTAGTCTCATTTATGCACAGATCCATCGGGATTGAAAGAAAGCCTAGACTGAACCATAGCAGCATGATCAACCTTTTTCCTACAAGATTTCTGATGCCTAATCAAATGGCCAGTGCCAGCAGAAGATCTAGCAGACAATTTACTCTTACACATTTTACAGATAGCAGCAGTTCGAACCTTTTGACCATTCACAGTCTCATAGATCTCATCAAAATCAACCTAGACACCAGATTTACGCTTACCAAGGCATGAGGTACCATCTGTGCTGTTGGAGCCGACCGGTGTCCCTGTCGCCGTCGTCGACGACGCCGGCTCCACCCCTCCACCACCGTCACCACCGTCCAGATCGATCGGCGCAGAGCCGCTACCGACATCGATACCCAACAACACAGGAGCGTCGTCACGGATGTCGTCGTCGTCCTCTGGGAGCAGCCCTGGCGCGATCAGGTCATCGTTGCCGGTGAGTGGATAGACGACATCGTCGTCATCCGCCATGGCGACCTTGACCGTGGACGACTGATCTCCAGCACCGTTCCTCAACGGTGCGCGCGGCCGCTGTGCCCGGTCTATGCCACAGGAAGAGGACGACGAGGCATCAACAACTGACCTGCATGGAGGAGAAAAACAGAGTCAAAGAGATAGAGGTACAGATCCAGAGTCAATGGAAGAGACACAAGAAGTGGAGAAGACAGATCTAGGGTTAGGGTTAGGGTTAGGGTTAGGGTTAATGGAGTACCTGCGCAACCGGAGCCCGGTGCCGGAGATGACGAGGGCCACCCAGAGGAGAGAGAATGATTAGAAACGATGGCGAACGGCGGAGGAGGGACGGACGGGAACACGATTACGAACTCACATAGTTCACCAAGAGTGAGAGAGGAGAGAGGGAGAAGGGAGGAGAGTGGAGACAGGGTCAGATAGGCGGATCGAGGTCACCAGAGTCGGGGACGACGGACGAGATCAGTAGATCACGAGAGAGAGCTCATATTCGCCAGGTCGTGGATACGACCGATGCGGGCGAGAGAGAGCAGAGATTGCGCCGCGGCGAGCCGGCGAGCGAGTGGGGATTAGGGTTAGGGTTGGGGAGCGGATCAGCGAGCCGGCCATGGCCAGGCGACTAAGCGGCGCGGGGATCATTACAGGCCATGGCGAAAGCGAGTGGGGAACTAGGGATTAGGGTTAGGGTTGGGAGCGGAGAGCGGAGAGCGGAGCGGACGAGGAGGCGAGGCGACTGGACTGAAAGTCTGATCAGAGTATAGCGGACGAGGAGGTGAGGCGAGGGGCGAAGCGCTATATATCTTTGGGCGGGCGGGGCGGGCGGGCGTGGGGAGGCCGGGGAGGCGGTAGGTCGGGCCGCGCTAATGGTCGGCTCGATCAGAGCAGATCGTGCTTGTGCTTGGCCCACGTGTTCTGGGTAAGGCCGTGCACGGCCTGCTCCTCCAGACCGGGCCCGCTAGCCTCCGTGCCGGGCCGTGCTTGAGCCGGGCCAAAAAAACGGGCCTTGGGCCGGGCCGACGGGCTCGGACTGCATGGCCAACTATGCATGTTGCTTCGCAGAAGGCAGCGGCTCGCAAGTGGTGCTCCTGCCCTTGACGCTTGAGGAGGGCGCCGACACATAGAAACATCCAAAATCTCGATGCTCATTATTCAGCGCCAAGAGACTCAAAACAAATGAATGAAATCCCCAAAAGTACAGCACATTTGCTTCTCCCTTTTAAAGAAAACCAACAAGTGTAGAACTTGTCATAATCTCGTCAATTAGTCCATAAGAGTTGTTGCCACAATCCAGAACTTCCAACATTGTTTTGAAGATTTCAGCACGGTTCCGGTTCTCATAATTTGTCCAAATCATCGCAAACCAAGAATCTAGTACTGATAATAGAAGTCACATGCCCAATTCTACAAAGTCACAACTCGGAAGTTCCCAAAAACTCTTGCAGATAGATTTGAATGAACCACACAATCACGCACGCAAACCTTGAAGTTGAACTCCTCTGCTTATTCATACGTGGTGGGAATTACTCAACAAGAGATCTTAAACTCGCCCTATTGCACCGCACAGCTAGCTAATCCCTAAAACTCTACTGCTACTGCACAAGATAATCACAATGACACAAACTTCAGTTCAGATCCCAGAACGGCGTGATACTCACACATGCGTGCCTCCATCGATCTGCTACTGCTACCACTAAACTACTAGTGCTACCAACCGCCCGTCTAACCTTGGATTGCGCCTCCAACACGCGGGACGCTCAGAACCAGGCGAGCGCCGCAGCGGTGAGGGCGGCGCCGGCTGCGGCCACCCTCCACACGCCAGGCCCGCCCGCGCCACCCGCTGCGGCGCTGTGGTGGCCGTGCGATCCTCCCGAGGCCGTCCTCGCGCCGACGCCGGCGGCGGCGCCCGCACCGACCCCGCCGAGGAACGGGCGGCCGGAGCCGGAGCGGCCTCTTCCCGACCCGCCGCCGCCACCTCTTCCTGACCCGCCGCCGCCACCACCGCCTCGTCCTCCTTTGCAGGATGCGCCCTGGAGGTGGGTGGCCACGCAGAGCAGCCTCGTCCCGTCTCTCATCGCCGTCGCCGATGCGGTGGCTGCGCGGTGCGTCGAGGTGGAGATTGGGAAAGCGCTAGTGACGAGGCCAGCAGGGAGAGGCGTCTCGGCAGGACAGCCACAGCCACAGGTGAGGCGAGAGACGTCGTGGCTTAACGTGGCCTCCCCCAACCGTCTTCCTCAAACTTGGCAGGCCGTGGCGCTAGTGCGCTATGCGGCTATGCGGCTATGCGCCTATGTCTACGGAGACGCGTGGACAGGTTCGGTTTCGATTTCGCTTTTTTCAATTGGAAGACGCGTGGACAAGTCCAGTACTTCGGCTTCGATTTTTTTTTTTTGAAGAATTCGGCTTCGATTTTTTCTTGTTCGATTCGAACTGACAACTGAGCTTCGTGGTTTACAGCTTAGCTTGGCTGGACTCGGCGAGGTGTGCGTACAGTACATGCGCTTTGTCGTTCTTCTGAAATTAGCCACGTGCTCATCGCCTTAATATTCCTAAAGTACGTACTCCCCTGCTAATCTTTTATTAACTCACTACTAACAATTAGCAAAGCCAGCAGAAGTTAACAAAGCTGTCAACTACAGCAACTAGTCCACGGTAGCGCCTAGTGCTGGTTTTCGAGCACTCGTGGTTTGCATTATTGCGTAGTATGATCAATTTCAGTAAATATTAACAGACGCATCGTGCCGATTGCTACAGTAAGTACTCGATACTTCCGTAGTTCATCAACAAAAAAAAAATAATAGCACTAATGAGCAATATGACACGACTTGTTTCATTGTCTGCCATATATATACACAAGGATGGCCCTGCACATTCGTGTTTGAACTTATATATACAAACCACATGTGCAGTCGCCATCCTGTAATAACTACGATGATCATCAATGCCATCGAGCTCATGGCACCCGACGCAGTCCGCCCCCGTGTCAGCACGTTCGGCAGGTGTAACTGTCTGTATCTTAGTTTGACTTATTAGTCAGCCAAGAGTCAGCCAGCGGTACTTCGGCCGATGGCTTATAAGCCGTTTCAGCCAAAACGGACAAGGCTAAGCCAGGCGACGGCGGCAGCGACTCCCGCCGTCTTCCAGGCGCCACCGCGGGCACCGGCAGACGAACCGTCGTAATCGAGCAAGTCAAGCACGCTATCATAGTTCGTGGTGCCTCTCGAGCCGCCGCCGGAACGAGAACTACCACCGCCTCTTGATCCACCGCCGGAACGGGAACCGCCGCCCTTTGACCCGCTGCCGGAACGAGAACGAGAACCGCCGCCTGATGATCCACTGCCGGAACGAGAACCAGAACCGCCACTTGATCCGCTGCTGGAACGAGAACCAGAACCCCCTTCGGAGCCGCCGCCGCTGCCGGAGGACACGCGCATGACCCCCTCGCTGACGTGCTCGTGGTCGTGGACTTGCTTGTCGGCGGCGGCGTGCTCGAGCGGCACGGCTCCGCTGCCGGCCGGTGCTTGTCCTTGGTGAGCGGCCTCGGTGCCGCCATCCTGAAGGGCGGCGGGGACTCGGACTGCGTGTGCGCAGCTGAAGGACACCGCGAGCGCGAGGCCGACGACGAGGAGCAGTAGGAGCGCACCGGGACGGCGACGCGTCGGGAGAGCCATGTCAAGAGCGCGTGCGTTGCTGCCTTACCAAATACGGAGTATAATACTGTACGACGTCTGCCTGGACAAGTAGACAACGCCTATTTACGCCGTGTTTAGTTGGTCGAATTTTGGAATTTAGGGTACTGTAGTACTTTCGCTTTTATTTTACAATTAGTGTTCAATCATGGATTAATTAGTCTCAAAATGTTCGTCTCGCGATTTTCCATTAAACTGTGTAATTAGTTTTTTTGTCTACATTTAATGTTCTATGTACGTATTGGAAGATTCGATGTGATGACTACTGTAGCATTTTTTGGGATTTTGGGTTTTAACTAAACACGGGCTTATCGGTGCGGACGTGTATTGCGCTGGGATTCGTAGTCCGGCGGAGCTTGTGGTGCCGGCGCGTGCCCGAACGCTACTCCGTACTCGGATTCGGTGAACACATATATTTTTCGCACCAGGGCAGTTGTCCGCGTCGAACTCTCGGGAGTTGCACGGTGTGGTCTAGAACTAGGGCCACTTTTAGTTTGGTGTCCGATTCGGCGCCGCCAAATTCAGGGAGCTACAGTATTTGGTAATAATTGTTCAAGCATTGGTCCTGTTTGGATACTCTAGCACAGCTAGATGTTAGAGTTAGTTTCTAGCTCAGGACTAGCCCTAAACTAACTCTAGCCTAAGAGATGTTTGGATATAAGGGTTAAAATGATAATAAATGTGCTTTCCAAATCATTGGTGCGGGTGAAAGTAGAGAGAAAACAGTGGACCCCACCTCAAATAGCCCTAACTAGCCCAAATAATCACCTCTTTGGGGGGATAGTTTTTTAGGGTGGGCTAGTTGTAAATAACCCACTATAACCCTCCTGTTTGGCTACTTTAGGGCTAGTTGAGCTCCAACTAGCCCAAACTAGCTCTAACCCATGGATCCAAACAGGGCCATTGATTAATTAGGTTCAAAACGTTCGTCTCGTAAAGTACAATCAAACTGTGCAATTAGTTTTTGATTTCGTCAACATTTAGTACTCTATGCATGTACCACAAGTTTGATGTAACGGAGAATCTTCTTTTTGCATAGTGCCAAAATTAGGAATTTGGTGGAACTAAACATGGCCTAGACTAATAGATTAAGGGCACGTTTATTTGAGCTTTTGGCTATTTTTAGCCAGGTTTTTATTTTTTTCCTTCAAAAGCCAAATAGCTTCCTTCCCTAAGCCAAAAGTTCGGAAGTTTCTGGTTTTTGGCTTTCTGGAGGTTTTTTTTTTATCTTGAAACCCAAACAAACAGACCCTGGGGCGCTTTGAAACACGAATCTTATAAAAATCAGCTAGAGACCGGCACATCTTAAATGTACGCAGTATGCACCTATTGTGGAGCTAAGAAAGTGGAAAGAGAGCCACGTGTTTGCGTACGTCATGTGAACTCGGGGGAAAAAACAACGCCACAAACCCAAAAAAAAAAGTCCCCCTTTCTTTCAGGAGCAGAGCTGAAAAATATTTTAAATATTTCAGCTCATAAGAAAGATTTGCATTTTTTTAGTTTGAATGATTTCAGTTTCATCAGATCCTTTCTATACTTCTTAGATTGCACTCATCGTAACAATAAGTTGTTGAAAAGAAAAAGAGACTTTGAGGAGGACATCCATGTTTTTTTCCTCGAGAATCAACATTTACTGAATAATATAAAAGGAGTATTATTTTTTATCTAAGTAGATAAATCTCTAAATAGAGACACTTTTTTTTCCTTTAGGGTCAAAATCTCATGTTATTTTCTTTATAGTACGGAAGGAGGTGAGATTAGGTTCTCTTTTCTTCATTTTTTTCATTTCTTATTCTGCTATTCCGAATAGTTTGGTATTCTTACTTATCTTATCTTACTTTACTAGTTGTTCTAAGTAATGCGCGCGGTACAAAGTTCGTGGGACCTAGACGGCCGGGCTAAGAAAAGTAGAAGGCGATGCATATGCTTACACGTGTCATGTGTCATGATGCACGAGATCTTAGGCTTAGATAGCTGGACCAGCTAAGGTTCCATAGCTCCAAAATGTAACTGACACTTTGTTGGAGGTTGATGATACAATCTATTGGCTCTTGGACTACACCATGGGTCCACTTTTGTCATCGTGACCTAGATTTGTGATGTGGGTCTATGTTTACCACATATAAAAACAAGAAGAGAGGATGGGAGAGAGATCACAAATAGAGAAACCGACTAGGAGGTGAGAGTTAGGAATGGAAGTAAATAATTGTCAGATTTAATATTAAATATAGATATAATATAGCTAGGCTTCAACTTATTCGAGGCAAGAGGCATTAGTCCACTATTATATTTATTACAAAACATGTAGCCAATGCTACAAACAATCAAAACGATACAAAAGCACATTAAAACACCACAATAGTGAGCAATTCATTTAAAACGACCCCATCAATGGAAAAAAGTGAAAAATTGCATTGTCATCAATTTCACTTTGTTGTAATCTATATCTATATTATTTAATATTAAATTCGTCATGGTTTGGTGCAAAATTACTTCACTTTAGTAATATGTATACGGTGATGAGGTTTTGACATTATTAATTTCTAACCGGAATACTCTTTATTAGCTGAACATCTACAACCAAAAATGCTTAGTCTGGCCCATTTGGAAAAATGGACAAGTAACACTTTAGTGGAGCTATGTGATGACCTATGCTATGACTATCAATTTTGCTTTTGTATATATCTGTATTCAGGGAACTTGTAAGTGAAGAAACAAAATAACAAGCACGATCTCTTCTTGTAAAGTTCATAATTAGTAACCACTATTTTTAGAATATGAATAGCCTAGAATTTGTGAAGGGCAGGCCTGGTGCAGTGGTGAGAGCTGTCTCACTTAGTCACCAGGTCGTGGGTTCGAAGCAGCCTCTCCGTAGATTTTGCGGGGGAAAGGCTTGTCTCGGTTTATCCCTTCCCCAGACCCCACTCATGTGGGAGCCTCCTGCACTGGGTCTGCCCTTTTTTTTTAATAGCCTAGAATTTGTGGAGTCTAGAATGAAGAGTCTTAGTAGTGGAAGAGTCTAGAATGAAGAGTCTTAGTAGTGGAAGAGTCATGTAACTCCTTTATAAACTCTTGATCAATGAATGGAACAGTGGGGAGAATTCCACTTACATGGTATCAGCTAGGAACCGTTCCTATCCCTCTCCCTAACTCTTCCTCTCCACCCGCCACCTCCTTCTCTTCCTCGTCGCGTCCATGGCCGATGATGATACTCAGGCTGCTGCTGCTCTGGCCGCAGCAACCCCCTTCCGTGGTCCAATCCGTGGAGCGGCTCCTTCCAGATGTGGCCGATGCCCAGGCCAAGGCATCCTGGCTATTCATATTCTAATAACCACCAAGCCTCATAGTATTTTTGTTATCTCTCTCAATGACATCTTTAAGCTGATAACTTGATGATGTAATACTTTGTATGCATATCTAAACTGCAGATTGATCTACTTGAAAGTTGCAGCTATGGATGATGGACTCAGTGCAAAAGAAAGGATATGCTTTGTAAGTGATCTTAAATGAGAATCTTGCTACACTAATTGCTACTTACATGTTTCAATTCGTCTCCTGAGATTTCTTTAGAAATATTAATTTTATTGTAAGTACCTGTTAATTGCATCTCTGAGATAAAAAAAAAATCGTTGGACCTATAATATGTGACTATGTGATCAAGCACTGCAACAAGGATTGCTATTTTCCTCAAAAGGATCGCTATCCTACTGCTTTTTCTCATTCCATTCTAAACTGATATTATCCTACTACTTTTCTCGTTCCATTCTAAATTCAGTCACTGATAACCACTGATTATTCATTATCATTTTTATCATTCATTTTTCTACTCCCAAATCTTGTTAGCCATTTCTAGTTACGAGATGGAAATATCTTTTTGGTTTACTTGCAGCTTAATTCCATGATGGATCTTGGAAGCGATGTTCAAGTTCGTGCTGCTGGAGGTCTCCTAGCCATATTAGACAATGAGAGACTTCTTGACACCATTGAGCAGATGGAAGGTGGAGCATCCATTGCAATCGATTCTGTGGTACAGATCTCATTTTATCCTTTGATGATATGAGATAAACCGAACACACTGATGTGTTGAGATTTAATTACATCTTATGTCATGGGCAGTCAGCTGGGCTTATCGTCCTGGACGGCAGTATGTCAGATCAGATCCGACCTGACATACTGCTGCCCTGGTTGGCCAGCCCGTAACCAACAGACTGCCCATGACATCTTCCAGTGATAGTCTAATTTGTAACCAACATAATTATATATATATATATATATATTCTGGAAATATGGACTGAACACATTTTTAACAGGTTGGCATTCTTTTATCTATTTTTTAGTTAGCATTGAACGCCTTGACTTATAATCACAGAGATAAGTTCCTTAAACTCGATGCAACTGCTCATGAAGCACTACAGATTTTTCAAGTAGATAAACACCCTAGTTACATGGGAATTGGAAGGGCTAAAGAAGGGTAAGAATCTTTCATCAAGGATTCAAGTTTTTTGTGGTAGCTTTTGGCTGGTGTCCATTTTTTAATAGGGGCTCTTGCGTTTGTATCCTTGTTTTGTATCGAAATTGTGATTTTGCCCCTATTTTTTTTACTTTGTGAATTTACCCCTACTGTGCCATTCACGAAGCACCAGTTTGCCCTTGCTCCGTTATCCACCCCTAACGGTGTTAAACTTTGTACAAAAGGACATAAATGCCCATGCGATTTTGCCCCTGTTTGTTATGCCTAATTGTGATTTTACCCTGATTTGGAATTATACTTTTTTATTGTATGTTGACAATTGATTAAATTTGGTCAAACATATTTGGCACAACTTGCAATTATTTGAACTCAGATTTAATATTGATAAATATTCAAAATTTTGGGACCAAAAGGTTCATAATGCTGGGATGGGAGATTACATAAGATGCTACAGAGATCGATTCATATGTAGACAGTGGACTGGACTCTGCCATGTTTCCGTGTGTTCTGGTCTCAGATTAGTTCCTGTATAGCAGAAATCAGATGTAAATGATCACGCTGCACACATATGCCTCTCCATGTACAAGCTAAGGCTAGGATCGTCCGCGACTCTAGCTTTCAGAGGCTTTGGTCTCTGCTCGATGCCGTCGCGTCCAGCGTCGGCATAGCCCTGGACGCTGCCGCCTTCTCCCGGTGAAACCTCCTGAAGTTGGCGACGAGGCCGACGTCCCCGTCCCGCTTCATCTTCTCCGCCAGCCTCGACAGAACCTGCATTGCATTACTTGGCTCCAGCTTTTAGGAATCAGAAGAGTACTGTTTTGGATGCCAGGCGAGGCGAGAGCTACTGAGCTAGGTACCGATTCGGCGACGCCGCGCAGGATGGTCTCTGGCACGAGGCGCAGGGGCGGCGGCAGGACGCAGGTGATGGCGATCTCCAGGTGGCCCCTCATCCGGCACCCACGGCTCCGGCTCCGGTCGGCGTACAGCTACCCGCTCACGCTGAGGTCGAAGCTGGAGGGGGCGTACCCCTCCCTCTCCCTCTCCAGCCCTGCGGCGCCTCACCACTCTCCTCCCAGCGGCGTTCCTTCCCCCGGCGGCGCGGTGGCTGGAGCTCGTAGTGGCGCGGCTTCGTGGTTGTGAAGGGATCCACCAGGATCCCATAAGGTCACTCGTTGATCCTTGATAATGTTAGTCCAGAGTACACCACTAAACTTCTGCTGCAACCGGACTAGAAATTTCAGAAAAGGAAGCACTTGTCTCTGACCTGAAATCAGAATTCCTTGTTTGGTGCCAAGTAAATGCTTGAATAGTGCACAGCTGCTTCGTTGTCCAAAGGAAGACTTTATCCAATCACAAGGCCTATTCACATTTACAGCATGGGCATCAGTATGTCCTTGAAGTGATATCCATTGAGCAATCTCCCAAAGATCAGTGAATGATATGTTATCAAATGGCAATAGTTCTCCATCCGATGAAAGGGTCTCCAAAATCCACGACTCAAATGCCAAAGTAGAGATATACTGATTTGTCTTAGTGAAATGCCAAAGCTGATGCTGATTGGTTTCATTAGCAATCACTCTGTGACTCACATAATGTACCAACATAAATTGATATGAAGATGGTAGTAGAGACATCTCCAGAACCTTCGCTGCCATATTGCCTTGCATGGCTGTTTGTAACAGTTGAATCCTTGTATGCCGCAACACCGAAATGGAGTGATGAACTACGTTGCCCTCCACAGAAAGCTGGCAATAGTTCCACTGTACTTCCCTCCAATAATTTGACTGAAGCAAACCAAGCCACTCACTATGACACCACCACACCAACCATGTCCTAAATCTTGCAGCTGTCTGTACATGTACTGAAATAGCAAGTGTTGATCCGATGCATGTTTTTCTCATCTCTAGCCATGCACCATTACCTTGGACCCTTTGTTGAGCTGCTGGCCGAACAGTTAGATAGATTGCAGACAAATACCATGGCGACACCTCAAGCAGAAACCCACTAACCAATTGCATTTTCCCAGACCATGAACTAAACACTGCTGTGCATAGAGCTCCTAGTGGATGCCACAACCAGAGCACGGTTGTGGATAGGCTTGGATTTCCTAAGTGCTGACTTCTAGAATTCATCGCGAGCATCAACGGCCAGTTTTACACTTGTTCGCAGTAAATCTTCTGCTTCAAGATACTGCATATGAACCTCCTTGACGAGGTGCGGCCTGGTGATGAGGCAAGCGGCGCTCTCGAGCGGGTCGTTGATGTCGGCGCCGAGCACCTCCAACTGCGTGGCAAAGCCGCCGTCGACGACCTTGGCGTCCGGGTCGCGACACGACATCCAACACCTGGCGTGCGTCTCCCAAAGGTGTTCTGTGGTCTCGGTGGATATGGTGGGGGCGACCTCATGGGGCAGCATAGAGGTCGACGAGGTAGAGGCGGATGCCATTGCTGTGGTCGTTGTCGCTGGCTTGCCAAAGACGGAGCCGGTGATGTCGTGGTCAGTGGCCTGCGCGGTGATGCAGAATTGGGAAGCGAGGGAGATGTCCAGAGGTGGATCTGCCATCGTGGTTGCCACGGAAGGTGCAGTGGAGGGCGTCGCTGGCTTGCTGGTGACTTCGTGCTCGCGGTCTGGGCGGCGCGGCGGTGGCGGGCCATGAGGTGCGCGACGACGCCCGGGGCGGCCCCATCGGTGGCCGGGTGCGGCGCCGTCAGCGGGGCAGCAGGAGGCGGCGCGGAGACCCGCTGCCAGGCGCCGCCGGGAGCCACGGCTAGGCACCGGAGCCGCGCCGCAGCGGGCGCGAGCCGGGGGGAGGGGTCAGAGCGGAGCTCGCCGCGAGCCATCTGGCGCCCAGCCACTGCGGGGCACGAGCCTGGGAGGAGCGGGCGGAGTGAGGATGAGCTGCGCCGCCGCCAGAGGTGGTCGCGCCGCGCGGTACTCCCAAAACCCTAACATGAGCCAGGCTACGCCGGAGTGTGGCGGAGGAGGAGGAGGCGACGCCGGGGGGGGGGAGCTGGAAGGAGGAGGATGAGCCACGCCAGGGGGAGCGGGAAGGAGGAGGAGGAGCTGCGCCGCCATGCGGTAGCTCGCGCTTGCTGCCAGCCATGAAACCGTCTCATGAGCCGCGACTTCTCGTCAGGAACGGGTCGAGCGAACGGGTGAGAAAGGAGAAAGGGACCGAGGGGTATCATTGTCTTTTCATGTAGGTGTCTTTTCTTTTTCTTTTTTTTTACCATTTAATCCCAGCATTTTAGACGGTGTTACAAAGCAGGGGTAGACGGGAGCTTCGTTTGAAAAAAGCGAGGGTAAAATTACAAAGTTAAAAAAAGAGGGGCAAAATCACAATTGGAGTACTGGACAAGGGCAAGAACACCATTTTCCCTTTTTAATAATATTGACAAACTGCAGGTTCTCAGTTTTTGGCATGTTCAACAAGGTAAAAAACGTCTTTCTTTATTTACTTCTTTTCTGAAAAGCACTGACTGTGTTTTGAATTTAGTGTGTCACGCCAATGGGAAGACGCCTCTTGAGGTATCTCTTACCTCTGTTAATAATGATTGCAATAATGATAAGCCAAATCTGTATTAACTATTCCTTTTTGGTTTCAGGGCATGGTTCCTACGTCCTATAATTGATATTGATGTCATAAATAATCGCCTCAACACAGTATCCTTACCCACTTTTTCAATTCTTGATGCCCACTAGACACCATTAGTTTTCTGTACTGTTTTCCTAGAAATGGCAGATAACATTCTTTCTTTGCTGTGAAGAAGTAATGTCTGCATTGCATGAGACTTTAAAGTCTGTCAGAGATGTTCCCCACATGCTCCAGGTTCTAAGTTGGCAATACATACAAATTTTAATGTGGTGTTATTTGTACCTTCTTTGGTTGTGAACTTGTAGTACAATCATAACCCCTTTAGGCCTTTACTATGTCAATATGTCATAGAAAGACCCTTTCAAAGATAAACCGAATATCGATTTTATAGCTTTAATTATGCTCCCTTTATGGAAAACTGGCCTCAAATTCTGCTTCTGAGTTTGTTGGGTCTTGTGGTGTAGAAAGATAGAATTGGGAGGCAATTGGCCACACCTCAATAGGAGGGGGCGCCTTCTGTTATATAGGGCCGGTTGGCCTTGCTTTACCAGGCAAGGGCAATTCCCTTGATTTACATCTACTAAATATAGTAACTAATCCTTGATTTACATCTACTAATTATGGCTACAAATACGCAGCATATGGTAAGGGGCTGCGGCATATTCTATTGCCTAACACCCGCCCGCAGTTGCAGCGGGAGGCTCCCGGACGCAAAGACTGGATCGAAATTCTCGAAAGAGTGCTGTCGGAAGCCCTTTAGTCATGATATCGGCGAACTGGTGAGAGGAGGGCACATGGAGAACCCGAATCTCACCGAGGGCCACCTTTTCGCGGACGAAGTGAATGTCGATCTCAATGTGCTTCGTTCGCTTGTGGTGGACGGGGTTGGCTGTCATGTAGACGGCGCTGACGTTGTCGCAGAAGACAACGGTGGCGGAGGGCAGCCGGAAGTGGAGCTCCTGGAGTAACTGTCGAAGCCAGCAGCACTCAGCCACAACGTGAGCCACGGCCCGATACTCTGCCTCGGCGCTGGAGCGGGACACCGTGGTCTGGCGCTTGGAGGACCAAGAAACCAGATTGTCACCGAGATAGACGCAGAAGCCGGAGGTGGATCGTCGAGAGTCTGGACAGCCTGCCCAGTCAGCGTCAGAGTAGGCAGTCAGCTTGTCGACAGACCCGGTGCCAATGTGAAGACCCGAGGAGAGAGTCCCCTGTACGAAGCGTAGGATGCGCTTGATGAGCGCACGGTGAGGCTCACGCGGGGCGTGCATGAAGAGGCACACCTGTTGAACAGCATATGCCAGATCAGGACGAGTCAGGGTTAGGTACTGGAGAGCCCCCGCCAAGCTCCTGTACTCAGATGCGTCCTTCTCTGACAGTAGATCCCCGTCGGCCGCGGATAGCTTGGCGTGAGTGTCAACAGGTGTCGTGGTCGGATGACACTCAGCCATGCCCGCGCGCTGAAGAAGCTCGACAGCGTACTGTCGCTGGGAGAGGAAGAGGCCATCTGGGGAGCGTGTGACAGTGATGCCGAGGAAGTGGTGGAGGGCGCCAAGATCCGTCATGGCGAACTCGGAGCTCAGCCGAGCCATAATGCGCTGAAGCAGAGCCGAGGATGAGGCGGTGAGAACGATGTCGTCGACGTACAGTAGTAGGTAGGAGAGGCTCGTCCCCTCGTAGAATGAAGAGGGACGTGTCGGAGGCGGAGGTGACGAAGCCGAGCTGCCGGATGAAGGTGGCAAAGCGCTGGTACCAGGCCCGCGGAGCCTGCTTCAGTCCATACAAGGACTTCTGCAGACGCCAGACGTAGTCTGGGGCGCCAGGGTCGACAAATCCTGGCGGCTGCTGGCAGTAGACGGTCTCCTCGAGGTGGCCGTGAAGAAAAGCGTTCTTCACGTCTAGCTGATGAATCGGCCAGGCGCGGGACGCGGCGATGCTAAGTACAGACCGAATGGTGGCCGGTTTGACAACCGGGCTGAAGGTCTCGTCGTAGTCGACGCCCTCACGCTGGGAGAAGCCTCGGACAACCCAGCGAGCCTTGTGGCGGGCGAGGGACCCATCGGCATGGAACTTGTGCCGGAAGATCCACTTCCCCGTCACGACGTTGGCGCCGGGGGGCCGCGGAACGAGCTGCCGGTGTTGTTGTCGGCGAGGCTCTGGTACTCATCCATCATCGCGGCACGCCCGATTGCGCGTCGGCGGTATAGGCCGCGCGTAGTTCGTCGGAATCGGCGATGGGGAGGATGACGTTGTGGCCGCCACCCTTCATAGTTGACGCGAGGATGGCACCCGTCATGGTGCGGGTGACACTTGGCGGGTGATGGCGATGGCGGAGCGGAGATGCCGCCGGTCCGGTAAAAGCGCCGTAGGTGGTGCCGGGCGTCAGGAGCCGCAGGGGCTGCTGGGGCAGCGGCCGGCTCGGACGTAGTCGTCGTACGGGAGCGGCGGACGAGACCCGTGGGAAGGAACCACTGGTCCAAAGCGGGGCACGCGTGACTACGCCCGCCCGATGATGGAAGAAGGCGATGCCGCAACGTCTGAGGGCGGCTGCTCCACAGGCGTCGAGGAGAGAGTCCCACCTGCAACAACAGTAGGGCAAGGCACCGAAACCATATCGTCGTCGAGGAGGAAGTCGAGGGAAGCGGGGGAGGAGGTGTCTAAGGTGGCTGCAAAGGGAAAAGTGGTTTCGTCAAATATGACATGGCGAGAGATGATGATGCGACGGGTCGATAGGTCGAGGCAGCGGTAACCTTTGTGCGAGGGGGGATATCCGAGGAAGACGCATGCTGTGGAGCGAGGGGCGAGCTTATGTTTGGAGGTTGCTTGCATGTTGGGATAACAGAGGCACCCAAAAACACGCAGATGACTATAGGTTGGTGGCTGGTTATGCAATGAGTGTAGGGAATTTCATCTTTGAATGGAGGAGGATGGGCGCCTATTATGGAGGTAGTAGGGTTGTTAGGAGCCCCTCGGCCCAATATGTGGGCGGGGGGAGGCATGAAGGAGCATAATCTGAATGGAATTGTTGAGTGTGCGGATGATGCATTCGGCTTTGCCATTTTGGGGTGATGTGTAGGGGCAAGAGAGGCGGAGGTGAGTGCCTTGAGCAGCGAGGAATTTGGTGGTGGCGGTGTTGATGAATTCAGTGTCGTTATCGGCTGAACACATTTTAGGGGAAGGCGAATTGTGTTTTGGCAAGCTTGACAAGCTCGACTACGTGTTGGTGAACCTCAGATTTTTTTTCGGAGCGGAAAAACCTTGATGAGTGACTATAATCATCCAAACATACCAAGTAATATGAAAAACCAGATGACTGTTGATGGGGAAGTCCATACATCACAGTGAACAAGTTCAAAGGGTGCATGAGTTATGGAATGCGAGGGCTGAAGGGTAGACGCGTATGCTTTCCTAAGCGACATGAGTGACATAGGGAGCGGTCCATTTTATTACTGAGGAAGCAAAATGAATTTTATTAAGACGTTCTAATGCGGCGAAATTTGGATGGCGAGACGTTGATGCCCAAAGTGTCGACGAAGCGACCAAGAGAGCATGAGATGGGGCGGCAGGTGTGTGCGGCGGGCATGGTGTATAAGTCCCCGTCATTTATTACAATGGAGAATCATGCGTCCGGCCCCGAGATCCTTAACGAGAAAAACCATGTGCGTCAAATTCAAAGGAACAACTATTGTCGCGAGTGAACTGGACAGACGGATAACAAAAGTTGCGGACTATGGATGGTGCGACAAGAATATTGTTAAGAGCGAAATTTGTTGTAGGTGTAGGAAGGGACGGAATGACCTCTAGGCGTACAGGAATGCTAGTGCCATTACCTCTCTTTGTTATTGAGGAGATGGAGGGGGCGTTGGGTAAGCATACCATCCGAGGGCGTCATGTGCGTGGAGGCGCCGGAGTCAACGACCGAGGCGAAGTTGCCCTGCGATTGCATGTTCTGCAGAGCAGCAATGAG